ATCCCTTGCAGAAACGCAGAAGACACATCCATGCAGTCAACCTCCATGTCATCTCGAGCGGCCACATCGAGAAGGGTGCGCAGTGTGGGAGGTTTGGCAGTGGGAGAGAATGTCTCAAAGAAGTCCAGTCCACGCTTTTGGGTAAATCCCTTGGCACAGTACCGGGCTTTGAAGACAGGAAATTCGCCTGGAAGTTGTTTCACCCGGAAAACCCATTTTCCCTTCACAATGTTGACGCCGGAGGGAGGAATGATATCTGTGAAAGTCCCTGTGTGAATGAAGGCCTCACACTCTGCGATAATGGCCCCTATCCACTGAGCGGCGTTAGGACCAGAAACTGCTTCAGCATAGGTGAGAGGTGTGGGGATGGAGGGGTTGTCTCAGAAGTTGAGGGTGGGAGATTCTGCGATATCTGGAAAGAGAGAGCAGAGCGCGTGTATGGCTGAGACAATGTCAATCAACTCCTCATGTCTGTCCTCAAGAAGGGAGGGCATGAGCGAATAATCACCCCCGACAGGAGGAGGATTGAGAGAGACACGAATGGAAAGGGAAAGAGTCTTGGGAGCTTTGTGCGAGCGGGTGCGACCAGCGATGGGGGAGGGAGGCGGAGCTGGAGGAGGAGAAGCAGGAGGTGTAGTGGCAGCATCAGGAGCAGCAGCTGAATCAGGAGCAGGAGCCAGATCAGGAGCAAGAGGTGGATCAGGAGCAGGAGCAGCAGCAGGAGGACGGCGTTGGTAGGTTTTGAGAGGAATGGGCTCGGGGGCGGGAAGGAGCGGGGGAGACTGCGTGGTGCTGGATGGGGAAGCGGGTGACGGGGGGTCGGAAATTGTGGAGGGAGCGGGAAGAGGAGGAGATGGAGTGGTGGCAGGAGGAAGGCTGTCAAAGTCAGCCCAAGTTAGAGAAAGAGGAGGAGGAGAAGGAGAAATTGTGGAGGAGGGGTAGAATGGGTGGGATTCATCGAAGAAAACATCTCGGCTGCGATAGAGTTTGTTGGTGGTAGGATGGAGGAAGAGGTAGTCTGGTGAGTCCAAGTTGTGCCCGAGGTACACGCACGTGATTGTTTTCGGAGCAAGCTTGCCGCCAGCTGCACGACGGGCTTGGGAGTTGAGGAGGACATAGGAAGTGCACCCCCATACACGAAGAGGGCGGACGGACGGCTTTTGACCCGTCCACAGCTCTGTGGGGGTGGTGTGGGTGTGGTGAGGATGAGGATGGAGATTGTGGAGGGCGGCAGCATGGAGCATGGCGTATCCCCAAAGAGAGGGAGGGGCGGAAGCATGAGTGAGGAGGCAGCGAGCAATCTGCACCAGGATGCGGTTTCGGCTTTCAGCAACACCGTTCTGTTGAGGGCTGTCTAGGAGAGTGAAGGTCTGTTGGATACCCTCAGTAGAGCAGAAAGCTTTGAGAGTGTTGTTGCGGAATTCACCGCCACCGTCAGAGTGAAGAAACTTGATTTTGGTTTTGAAGGGTGAATGAGCCTGCCTGGCCCATTCCATGATGATGGCTGGGGCTTCAGACTTGGCGGTGAGAAGGTGAACAGACACATAGCGGGAATAGTCATCAACGATGACAAGGAAGTAGAAGTGTCCGCCACGGAAACGAACAGGAGCTGGACCCCAAAGGTCCATGTGTACGCGATCGAGAGGTGCGGTAGAGATGGACTCAGTGGGAGGATGGGGCTGTTCCCGAAGCTTGCTCTGTGCACAGTCAAGGCAAGGCGGTCCAGAAAGAGAGGGGGGTTGTGGAAGTGAGGCGGGCAGTCCATGAAGGAGTTGCTTGGTGGCAAGGTCTGAAAGTGCGCGGAAGTTGATGTGGCCGAGGCGGTTATGAAATAGCATGGTCTTGTCAGTGAGGAGGCGGCAATGACATGAGGGGGAGTCTGAGGATGGAAGCGGAAGGTTGGTGAGGGAGCATGTTTGAACGGGAGGTACAACTAGTGTTTACAGGTTGTTGGAGTTGAGGGTGAAGCAGGCAAGATGGAGTCCGGTTTTGGCGTCAAACATGTCACAGTAGTCAACATCATTGGGAAAGATGGTGATCACGCCTGCGTGTTGGATTTCCCGCTGTGCAAGAAGGTTGTAGCGGAGGGTTGGGGCACAGATGCCAGTGACTGTGCCAGATGGGAAAGCTTGACAGGAAACTGTGGAGGAGCCATGGCATTGGATGGAGAAGCTAGAATCTGCTCCAAGGAGTGAGGTGGGAGCCTGGTAGGGAACGAAGGCGGTTTGGTCTTTAAGCACTGTGTGGGTGGCACCACTGTCTAGTATGAACTCGATTCCCTGTGTGGTTGAAACACCGATGTACTGCGACCCCTTCTCATTAATAAGACCAGCACCAGAGAACAACAGGTTAAGGCGAACATCAGATGGGGCGCTAGCAAATGCCTGAGCAGGTTCCTCCACTGCCTCGACCTGGTTCACGCGACGGGGTGGTGCCCAGTTGGGAGGGCGCTTGTCCTTGGAGACACCATGGACGTCATACCACTCGTCATCTCGCTTCTTGAAGCAAGTGGCCTCAGGGTGATTGGTGTCGTTGCATTTCTGCCCCGCACGTGGACCCTTCCTAATGAGGTACTGGCATGGGGGAAAGGAGTTGCGCCTCTGGCCCTGCTGGGAACGAAATGGAATGCCAGGGGAGTAGCACACAGCATTGACTGATGCCTGGGCTGCAAGGTCCTTTTCCGCAGAGAGAAAGGCCGAAGCGACTTTCTCGAAGGTGAGTTCCTTGGTGGGGAGCTGCTTGAGCATGGAACTGGTGACGTTGTAGGCCGGGGTGAGTCCGACGAGAAGCCCAGCAGCAGGTGCCTGTTCGGGGAAGGTGATCCCAATGTCCTTGAGCTCCTCATGGATGTTGCGGATTTCAGAGATGTAGTCTGCCATGCCCGGGCATTCCTCAAGGCGGATTTGGAACATGCGAGGAATGAGGATTGCAACTCCCACGGCAGTTTTGTCATGAAAACGATCCTGGAGGTACTTCCAAATGTCATGCGCAGAGCGGAAGGTGCGGTAGGACTTGACTAACTCAACTGGCGTGGTGGTGATGAAAACCCTAATCACTGCCGCATCCGCCTGCTCCCAGAGACTGAAGTCCGTCTCATACTTGGTGGTCTTAGCATCGAAAGCGCTCTTGGCTGTGGCAGTGGCGCCTTCGCCGAGAGGATCGGGAGGGAGAGGCATCTTCCCCTTGCCGCGGTTGAGGAGGATGTCCTTGAGGCAAATCCCCTTGAGCTCCGAGCTAAGGAGGTGCTTCTCCACTCCATAGCACCACTCCCCGAAATTGGTGCTCGTGCCGTTGGGAGCGAGGTTAAGGATGATGAGGTTTCCGACGTGAGTGGAAGTAGAAGTTGCCATTTCGCGCGGAGCGCAGCGCTAAAGTCTCCGATTTTGGAAATTGAGGAAGTCCGAAACGCGATTTTGGCAATAGAATGCCCGTAATATACCCTGTTATACTGCTTCGCCGATGCCCCCTATTTTGCTTCGCTGCTGCCCCTGTTCCGCTTCTCTGCTGCGCCGCTGACCTGTTCTGCTGCGCCGCTGACCTGTTCTGCTGCGCCGCTGAACCTGTTCTGCTGCGCCGCTGACCTGTTCTGCTGCGCCGCTGAACCTGTTCCGCTGCGCCGCTGGACCTGTTCCGCTGCGCTGCTGAAAACCTGTTCGAAGTTAAGAAGATACGAAAATTTCCACTGAGATTTTAAAAACCAAACGCTTACGATGAAGGAAGTCGAAAGCTGAAAATGTCGCCGTTGAAAAACGAGAAGCGCGATGACGGAAGCCGAATGCGCGCTTGACCGGAGCGACGATGTGAAGTTTCTGAAAAACGCTAAGCGTAGGAGCCGGGAGCCGAAATAGGCATAGCCTAGAAGGAGAGAACCATCGGGACGCCAAGGATCGGATTCCGCGTGAGCGGAATTTACTAGCTCTGATACCATGATAGAATTGGAACTGAACTGATTGATTGATAAAGAAGGCACTAGGCCTTAAGTACAAACACGGTTGGGTTGAGCAAAGCTAGGGAAAGGATGGGATGGGAATCCTAGCAAATCTCCAATTGGTGAGTTGGCGGATTTGCAGGATTACAAGGGATTCCAACCAGATAGGGTTGGGATTACAAATCTACACCCAACCTACAAAGTAACCTAACCGATATAGAATATAGTACAAAGTGTTGACTGACTATTTCTAACAGGGACTACCTATCGGCTTGACTTTATCTAGGAAAGAGTTGGCTGCTGCTGCTAACATCTCGTTGACCAAATCAGCAGCAGCAGCAGAAGCAGCCATTCAAGTGAACAGTTATTTACATCCCATTTTGGTCAGCCGTCTGGGGGATTTTCCAATGGAAAATCAAGCAAAAATAGCGAGAGGTAGTCACTGAACCAACCCAAATCCCTTCGCAGCACCAATCGCCCCACTCACCGGAATCAGCAGGAGTGGGGGCAGACAGCATGCACTGTATAATCACAGTCTCGTATAGTGACACCCTGCTGGGGTGTCTAGGGATAATAATTGACACTCTGCTGCTGCTGCTGGGGTCTCTAGGAATAATAATCGACACTCTCGTCATGAACGGGGAAACGTCACTCACCAGAGTCAGCAGGAGTGGGCGCAGAGAGAGTGCACTGTATAATCACAGTCTCGTACAATGACACTCTGCTGGGATCCCCCCCGAGGTGGTAACCCGTTCACACATAAAGCCTGCTGCTTCTATGACCGGGGGAAAATTCACTCACCGGAGTCAGCAGGAGTGGGAGCAGACAGCGTGCACTGTATAATCACAGTCTCGTAAAGTGACACTCTGCTGGGGTCCCCAGGTGGTAACCCGTTCACCAGCAAGGCCTGCTTGTATCTGCTTCTATGATGGGGGGAACGTCACTCACCAGAATCAGCGGGAGTGGGAGCAGACAGAGTGCACTGTATAATCACAGTCTCGTACAGTGACACTCTGCTGGGATCCCCAGGTGGTAACCCGTTCACTTTGAGCCCTTTAGTATCCTCCGGATATTAGTACACCAGCGTTCCCTGGGATAGGAAAGGATGAGGGAGAGGGGGGTGAGGGTGTGGAAGCGGGAGTGTTGGGGGGGAGGGGACAATGGTCTTGGAAGCAACACTCTGCTGGGGTCCCTAGGTGGTAACCCGTTCACCTTGAGCCCTTTGGTATCCTCTGGATAGTAGTACACCAGTGTTCCCTGGGATAACGAGGCAGAGGGGGAAGGGGGCAGCAGTTGCGACAGGGGGAGTGGTGGCGAGGGAGGTGGGACAATAATCACAGTCTCGTGCAGTGACACTCTGCTGGGGTCCCCAGGTGGTAACCCGTTCACTTTGAGCCCTTTGGTATCCTCTGGAAAGTAGTACACCAGCGTTCCCTGGGATTAGGGAGGGGGGGAGAGGGACGACAATAACACAGTCTCGAACAGCCACAGCCTGCTGGGGTCCCCAGGTGGTAACCCGTTCACCTTGAGCCCTTTGGTATCCTCCGGATAGTAGTACACCAGCATTCCCTGGGATTAGGAAACACGGGAGGAGGAAGCAAGGGGCGGGAAAGGGGGGAGGCACAGGCACAGGCCCAGTAAGTTCTCAAAGTGGTAACCCATTCACCTTCAGCTCTTTGGTATCCTCTGGATAGTAGTACACCAGCGTTCCCTGGGATAGGAAACAATGAGGGAGAGGGGGGCGAGGGTGTGGAAGGCGGAGTGTTGGGGGGGAGGGGACAATGATAATCACGGTTTTGGAAGCAACACTCTGCTGGAGTCCTTAGGCGGATGTTAACCCCTTCACCTTCAGCCCTTTAGTATCCTCTGGAAAGTAGTACACCAGCGTTCCCTGGGATTAGGAAACACGGGAGGAGGAAGCAAGGGGCGGGAGATGGGGGGGCACACGCCCAGTAAGTTTTCAAAGTGGTAACCCGTTCATCCTAAGCTATTTGGTATCCTCTGGATAATAGTAAACTAGCGTCCCTGGGATAGGAAACAACGAGGGAGACATGGGGGGGAGGGCGGAGGAAGGGGTGGGGAATTGTGGGAGGGAAGGGATTAGGGGGGGTGGGGGGAGAGGCACTCGTGTAAAGCAAGACTCCCTAAGACCTCCCTACGCAATAACCCGTCAGCTTAAGCCTATTGGCATTGTCTGGAAAGCGGTGCACTAGTTTACCCTCAGATAACGAGGAAGAGAGGAGGGGTGGGCGTGGAGAGGGGACTGGCCGGAGGGGAAGGGGCTCCAATCTGAGAGCCCCATGCCCATCTAAGGTCCCACCTTGCACCTCCACAGGCATGTCTCCTCCCTGCTCCCTTACAAGTACCTCCAGCAAGTAGACATTCTCCATTCAATAGGATCCTGCCACGTGTCCTCACCAAAATAGCCCTGGGTCCTTAATAAAAGGAAGGAAGGAAGGACAATAATAAAAGTCTCATACAGTAACACTCTGCTAGGGTCCCAAGGTGGTAATCAGTTCATTTTGAGTCCCTTAATATCCTATGGAAAACAGTACACCAGCGTTCCCTGGGATAACAAACACCGAGGGAGAGAGGAGGGGAAAGGGGATGAAGAACAATGATAATCATTCAGGCACGTCTCCTCCCTGCTCCCCCACAGGTACCTCCTGCCTGTGCGCCCACCGCAGCAACCAGCCAGCTGTGCAGAGCGGTGCGGTGCGGTGCGGATGGGTGGATGGATGGATTGACCTTCCCCGCCAGTGCTCACCGGAATAGCCCTGGATCCTTCGAGATCCACAGGCACGTCTCCTCCCTGCTCCCCCGCAGGTACCTCCAGCAAATAGGAACACGCCACGTGTCATTGACTCTCCATTCAATAGGATCCTGCCACGTGTCCGTTCCGGAATAGCCCTGGGTCCTTCAAGGGAGATCCACAGGCACGTCTCCTCCCTGCTCCCCCACAGGTACCTCCCTGCCCATGCGCCCACCGCAGCAACCAGGCAGCCATGCGGTGCAGTGTGGTGCAGATGGATGGATGGATGGATGGATGAATGAAACCTCCCCTTTCCTCCACTTCTCACCGGAATAGCCCTGGGTCCGTCAAGGGAGATCCACAGGCATGTCTCCTCCCTGCTCCCCCACAAATACCTCCCTGCCCGCGCGCTCAGCCCCACAACTGCAAAGGCGGACGCGTGCAGGCGGTGGGATGAGGCGAAGATGAACGTTGGCATGCCGTGCGGTTTGAAGAGGGCTGGGGGAAGGAGGGGAAGGGGAGGGGGAAAAAGAGGTGGGAGTATCGATGATGGGGGGACAGGGGAGGGAGGTGCGCCCAGCCCGACAACTGCAAAGGCGGTCGCGTGCAGGCGGTGGGACGAGGCGAAGATGAACGTTGGCATGCCGTGCGGGGTGAAGTGGGCTGGGGGAGGGAGGGGAAGGGGAGGGGGAAAAAGAGGTGGGAGTATCGATGATGGGGGGACAGGGGAGGGAGGTGCGCCCAGCCCCACGACTGCAAAGGCGGTCGCGTGTAGGCGGTGGGATGAGGCGAAGATGAACGTTGGCATGCCGTGTGGGGCGAAGAGGGCTGGGGAAGAGAGGGGAGAGAAAGGGGAAGGAGGTGGTATTTTAAGCTGACTGAGCGACACATCGACACGTGCAGGCGGTGGGACGGGGCGAAGATGAACGTTGGCATGCCGTGCGGGGTGAAGTGGGCTGGGGGAGGGAGGGGAAGGGGAGGGGGAAAAAGAGGTGGGAGTATCGATGATGGGGGGACAGGGGAGGGAGGTGCGCCCAGCCCCACGACTGCAAAGGCGGTCGCGTGTAGGCGGTGGGATGAGGCGAAGATGAACGTTGGCATGCCGTGTGGGGCGAAGAGGGCTGGGGAAGAGAGGGGAGAGAAAGGGGAAGGAGGTGGTATTTTAAGCTGACTGAGCGACACATCGACACGTGCAGGCGGTGGGACGGGGCGAAGATGAACGTTGGCATGCCGTGCCGGGTGAAGAGGGCTGGGGGAGGGAGGGGAAGGGGAGGGGGAAAAAGAGGTGGGAGTATCGATGATGGGGGGACATGGGAGGGAGGTGCGCCCAGCCCCACCCCACGACTGCAAAGGCGGACGCGTGCAGGCGGTGGGATGAAGCGAAGATGAACGTTGGCATGCCGTGTGGGGCGAAGAGGGCTGGGGGAGGGAAAAGGGGGGAGGGAAAAGGGGGGACGAAGGATAGGGAGTAAGAGAGGGAGGAAGTGCTTTGAGCTGACTGGGACACACATGGAGGAATGCAGGCGGTGGGATGAGGCGAAGATGAACGGTGGCATGCTGTGTGGGGCGAAGAGAGCTGGGGGGAATGGGGATGGGGAAGGCGGAAAGGGAGGGGGGGGTATCCATGATGGGGGGACAGGGGAGGGAGGTGCGCCCAGCCCCACGACTGCAAAGGCGGACGCGTGCAGGCGGTGGGATGAGCCGAATCTTGAGATAGTTAGGGTTACCTTGAGGGTTGTTCGCCGGCTGGTAGGGTAGCTGGGTGAGAGTCTGACACTCCTTGGCAAGAAATGTGATTCCATTGAGCGAGACTGACGGGAAGAGTGACTTAAACGGGGTCGGTATTATCGAGGGGAGGGTGGGGTTGGGGAGGTACGAGAGCGACCGGCGGTGCCAGATGTTGTGCGAGACGAGCACGAGGAGACATAGGACGAATGAATAATGGAAGAGCGGTGACATTGTGTCGAGGGTCGCCGCTTATAATGGATATATTGCACGCCGATGTTTAGCTCAAAGGAACTCTTCCTGTGAACTCCTTAGCCAGCCGTAACACCCCCTTCCCTCTCGTGTTCAACTCTGCCAGTTCAAGCATACTCTAAGCACAATGAAGAAGAAAGCGCGCATCACGGACACCATTGTGCCGGTTGTCCCTAGGTTTCCCGCCAAAACGCCACATTGGGAATTTAGGACCAACAGTACGAATTTGGGTTGGTGGGCTTGACAGTTCGGGACTCCAATTGCTTGTGCCTCGGAGTGTACACACCCTGTTTTTGGGTTGCGTAGCAACCCTATATAATTGGTTTGACATTTTGGGGATATCATTTGAGAAGTGGTTTTTTACGCACTTTTTGGAGCACACGTTTGAATGTTTTGAACTGTGTTCAAACGGATGCCTCAAATAGTGAATAAAAGCACTCTCAAATGAGATTCCCATATGTGAAACCAAACACCGTACGTATCATGTTGAAACCATGAATTTGCTCGACCGTCCCAGCATCGTCGATAAATACGGCGGATGGTACGGCCGAGCATAATATTCTGGTATCAACATGCACGAATGCAGTTGTACAAATGAACAACAAGGTATGAGGAGGAGTGGTTGCTTCAAAATGAATGTTAAGATGCACCATATAGCAATAGAGGTTGATGGGGTCGTTGAAACAGCGAAAACACGCTGCCCCAACGACGATTAACAACCTCTGATTACATACGTGACACATAGTAACACCACACTTTGAAGCACACATCCCACAAACACAAATGCAAACGCTCGTAAAAAGGTACAACACCACGTAACGATTGTGAACGGATCGAAGTGGGTGCTCAATATACACCAATGCTGCAACTGAGATTGATGGGGTCGTTGAAACAGCGAAAACACGCTGCCCCAACGACGATGCCAACCTAAGATCACAAACACGGTGCATATCAGCACAACAACCCCCTGTGAAACAACCAACTGACATGAACACACCAGCACAAACTGACCCGCACAAACACACCCGCACACAGATGCATACACAAATAGGATTGAGAGCAGACAAGCATAACGAAGAGTTGCAATCAATTCATTATGTATCAATCACTGCTAGCTTGTCCCCCCTTCCTCCCTCTTTCCGCCTTCCCTCCTCTCCCTCTACCATCAAAATCTCCTCCCACCCTTTTCCACATCGTCTTCTCTCTTGCATTCCCCTCCTTGCTCCCCACAATGCGTCTTGCACACCTTGCAAAACAAACAGGTCAAGTAAAAATGAATTGTCGTCGGAGAACGCAGTGAATTATTCAATGACGAGCACATACTTGATTGTGAAACAGAACTTGATAAGCACGTATGTGTTGAAATCTGATCAGTACAAAAAGAAAGTACCGATGAACATTGATACAAAACAGAAATGAAAAGCAAGTCTTGCAACGAAAGAAACCGAATTTGACCACTCACAAGCGTGGTTTGAGACATAGACCCCCTGAGGTCACGCGCACCACGCTGGTGTGCAGCAAGGTTCCAGCGAGCAACGAGCTGGGCATCACCATGCTAAAAGGCGCCAGAGAGTTGCAACAAGGCATCGGCAAGCTGAGAAGAGAAAGCGGGCTGCCGTAGCAAGGCCTGAGCACACGGCAGCAAGGCGTGAGCTCACTGCAGCAACGCGTGAGCGCACTGCAGTAATGCGTGAGCTCACTACAGCAACGCGTGAGCGCACTGCAGCAACGCGTGAGCTCACTGCAGCAAGGCGTGAGCGCACTGCAGCAACGCGTGAGCTCACTGCAGCAACGCGTGAGCTCACTGCAGCAAGGCGTGAGCTCACTGCAGCAAGACGTGAGCTCACTGCAGCAAGGCCTGAGCACACGGCAGCAAGGCGTGAGCTCACTGCAGCAACGCGTGAGCGCACTGCAGCAACGCGTGAGCTCACTACAGCAATGCGTGAGCACACTGCAGCAACGCGTGAGCTCACTGCAGCAACGCGTGAGCGCACTGCAGCAACGCGTGAGCTCACTACAGCAACGCGTGAGCTCACTGCAGCAAGGCGTGAGCTCACTGCAACAAGGCGTGAGCTCACTGCAGCAAGGCGTGAGCACACAGCAGCAACGCGTGTGCTCACTGCAGCAACGCGTGAGCTCACTGCAGCAAGGCGTGAGCTCACTGCAGCAAGGCGTGAGCTCACTGCAGCAAGGCCTGAGCACACGGCAGCAAGGCGTGAGCTCACTGCAGCAACGCGTGAGCGCACTGCAGCAACGCGTAAGCGCACTGCAGCAACGTGTGAGCTCACTGCAGCAACACGTGAGCTCACTGCAGCAAGGCGTGAGCTCACTGCAGCAAGGCGTGAGCTCACTGCAGCAACGCGTGAGCTCACTGCAGCAACGCGTGAGCTCAGTGCAGCAACGCGTGAGCGTGCGCAATAATTTGCCAGCGCGCTGCCGCAACAAGGCAGCAGCGCACAAGCCGCCATCGGGCTGCAAGGCGCAAGCGCGTTAGGTGCCAGCGAGTTAGGCGCCAGCGCATTAAGGCGCCAGTGTTGAAGGCGCCAAGGCGCCAGCGTTTAAGGCGCCAAGGCGCCAGCGATTAAGGCGCCAAGGCGCCAGCGATTAAGGCGCCAGCGCTCATGGCGCCAAGGCGCCAGCGTTTAAGGCGCCAAGGCGTGTCAGAATATGTTGTTTGTGTAGCCTGCAGTGGGGTACTCAATAGTGAGTACAGCCCCTTAGGGTTTGCTATTTGTATCCTGCTGCTTGCTAGTTCAATCACTCCTTCTCAATTCTGTTCCTGCACACAATCCTAGCTCGTACTTGGCTCCTCGTTACTAGTCCTACTGTGGCCTAGGCTACTAAGCCTAGGCCGTACTACTACTACTTCTGACATGGTATCAGAGGGCGGCATGTCTGCCGCCTTCCTGTGTATGGGCCCACCACCCGCTTCCGCTGCCGTACTGTCTGCCGCGCGCCCCGTGGTGCGCGGCGCCGAAATTAGGGTTTCTGCCCGCTGCGCGCTCGGGACGCGTGGCGGCTTACCCCTCCGTGGCGCCCGTCGTGGCGCCCGTCGTTTCTACTGCTACCGGGGGCCCGCGCGGCCTCACCTCCCGTCGCCCGTCGTGGCGACCACGGGGGGCTCGCGCGCGGTCCCCTCCCGTCGTCCGTCGTGGCGACCACGGGGGCCCGCGCGGCCTCCCCTCCCGTCGTCCGTCGTGGCGACCACGGGGGCCCGCGCGGCCTCCCCTCCCGTCGTCCGTCGTGGCGACCACGGGGGCCCGCGCGGCCTCCCCTCCCGTCGTCCGTCGTGGCGACCAAGGGGGCCCGCGCGCGGTCCCCTCTCGTCGCCCGTCGTGGCGACCACGGGGGCCGCGCGGCCTCCCCTTCCCGTCGCCCGTCGTGGCGCTCCGGGGGGGCCCGCGCGGCGCCCTTTTCGTCGCCCGTCGTGGCGACCACGGGGGCCGCGCGGCCTCCCCTTCCCGTCGCCCGTCGTGGCGCTCCGGGGGGGCCCGCGCGGCGCCCTTCCCGTCGCCCGTCGCGGCGGCTCTGGGGGCCCGCGCGGCGCCCTTCCCGTCGCCCGTCGCGGCGGCCCTGGGGGGCCGCGCGGCTCCCTTTCTCGTCGGCCGTCGGGGCGCCCTGGGGGCCGCGTTCTTCCCCCCCCGTCCTCCTACCTTCACCTGCAGCGGCCGCCCCTGGAGCCGCCCCTGGAGCAGCCCGCACCTGCAGCAGCCGCCCCTGGAGCAGCCCGTGCCTGCAGCAGCCGCCCCTGGAGCAGCCCGCACCTGCAGCAGCCGCCCCTGGAGCAGCCCGCACCTGCAGCAGCCCGCGGCCCGTCCTTGCAGCCCCCCCCCCCCCGTGCTGCCCATTGCTCCCAATCCGCCGTACGTTCCGCGGTGGTGGGGGTGTGGGGTGGCGAGCATGGGGGTGACCAGTGTGGGTAACCTGAAGCTCCTCCTCCTCCTCCGTCTCCCACTGCTGCAGCTGCCGCTGAGGGGGGTGGGTGTGTGGGAGCCGAGGGTTTAGGGTTTAAGGGGGGTGCCGTGGGAGTGGAGCTAGGGTTTCAGCAGGGGGTGTGTGAGAGGGGTGTGGGACGGTCGGGGGAGGTTGAGTGGAGGCTGCTGTCTTGTCGTCCGCAGCACCTGTAGTCCGGGGCGCACTGTCCTGGTAGCTCAGAGAGCCTGCTGCACCTGTTGCCCGTGGGTCCGTTGCTCCTGCCGCTCGTCGCAGCCGCAGAGCCTGTTACTCCTGTATTCCGGGATGCACTGTCTCGGTAGCCACTGAGAGCCTGCTGCACCAGTCGCCCGTGGGTCCGTTGCTTCTGCCGCTCGTCGTAGCCGCAGAGCCAGTTACTCTAGTATTCCGGGGCGCTCTGTCTCGGTAGCCACTGTGTCAGCCGCCACTGTGTCAGCCGCTTTTGTTGCCCGTGTGTCTGCAGCTTCAGTCGTCGCCTCCCATCTTCTCTCCTTTCATAGTCCCTCCTCCTCCTCACTTGCCCTCTGTGATAGCCTCTAGCTTTACTGATAATTATGAACTATTGCTATGACTGCTCATTGTGCTGATTACACCCCACTTTGGCTATGGGGGTGTGTCAGAATATGTTGTTTGTGTAGCCTGCAGTGGGGTACTCAATAGTGAGTACAGCCCTTTAGGGTTTGCTATTTGTATCCTGCTGCTTGCTAGTTCAATCACTCCTTCTCAATTCTGTTCCTGCACACAATCCTAGCTCGTACTTGGCTCCTCGTTACTAGTCCTACTGTGGCCTAGGCTACTAAGCCTAGGCCGTACTACTACTACTTCTGACAAGGCGCCTGCGTTTAAGGCGCCAAGGCGCCAGCGATTAAGGCGCCAAGGCGCCTGCGTTTAAGGCGCCAAGGCGCCAGCGCTCATGGCGCCAAGGCGCCGGCGTTTAAGGCGCCAAGGCGCCAGCGTTTAAGGCGCCAAGGCGCCAGCGATTAAGGCGCCAAGGCGCCAGCGCTTAAGGCGCCAAGGCGCCTGCGTTT